TGTGTAAAATATGTTTCTTCTCATAAGAACTATATTAATTGAGAAATATGATAATGTTTTTAACATTTAGAAATATCTAAAAATTTTGGACGGACAGACGGATTTTATATTATAAATTTTACAAAACAAATTTATATTTGTTTTAAAAACTTTTGTGCATATATTTATTTTATAATATATAGACATGATAAGAAGTAAGGTATACTTAGCATTTATCTTTTGGATTAAACTTTAATTCCAAATTCATTGCGTTTATGAAAATATTAATTTTATAGACAATTATATTGAACTTTAGGTCTAATTTCACAGTCATAATATAAGTTTCAAAACAGACTTAGGTATAAATTAATTCGTCAAAACTAATGACTTAATTTAGTATTATTATTAAGAAGTTATTATTAAGAAATTGGCTTTTAAATCTATTATTTTACTTGTCTAAATTAAAATTAATCTGTATGTTGAAGGATTAATATTAATTTTGTATTTGATTAAATGACTTCTAACAAACAATTTTGTAGTTCTAAACAGTGAAATTTTTTAAACGTATTTATATATAGTGTGAAATATATATGTTACTGCAATATTTTGTGTTTCAGTGATGACATTGGCATTGTATAATGTTTTGGCAAATAGCTAATCTTACATATGTGCACATAATGCAAGCAAATTACATTTTGTATAAAAATAAATAGTTAATATAAACTGCAAATTAAAATGAATACAGAATTAAAGGGAATAGTGAAAATGTTGAAAACTTCAAAATACAATATTAAAATTTTTTCTTTTTTCCAATTTTCAAATTTATTATTTTTGAATTTTGTTTTGACATATAATTGCAATATATATATATGGCTATTGTGCCATAAGTTTATACAAAATAATAAAACACAATTGTTACTGACTTTCTGCCGTTCACGTGGAACTATATTTTTATTACTAATATTAGCTGCGTTTCAGCAAACATGATCCGCTCAATGATCTGGATCATCTTTGCTGAAACGATATGGAACACGTATGAAAGTAATTGGCAACGCATGAACTATGTTAGTTTGGTTTGTTTACAAAATTTTTTTTTTATTTTTGTGAATAATTTTAGCGCTAAAAAAATAAGTGAGAAAGTATTAAATATAAAAAATCTAAAATATAAAAAAAAAATAAAATCTGTTGAAATGTCTGAAGTATTTACTTAAAAACTTAAATTTAATTCTAATGTAAATAAATGAAAATTGCATATGTTATTAGAATCATCGAGCGAAACTGACTCTTCCATTCCCTTTTTACAAGTTCAAGTGTATGGTATTAAGCTCAAGGGATGAAGTGTATCAGCATGGATATAGTGGAAGTTTTGTGGAAACGATCAATAATTTTTTCGTTAAAGATTATTTGATTGGTATTTGCGCATAAAAAATACAATTGCTATATATTAATTATGTTTCATATTTTAATAGATTTGTTAATAAATTCCAATCAGCAAATGCAAAATAATAGTGATGATCACATTTGGACGAGAGGAATTTTATATATTTTTGTGGTATATGGCATATATAAATACTTTTCCAAAATTTGGTATTTGTTTTGGCATATCAAAAGCTTCTGTATGGAGGATAATTGAAAGAACTAGTGTTTAGCTTATATCAATTGGACACTAATTTATAAAATACGCACTTGCTTATAGTGCAAAAGTGGAATCTACGAAAAAATTTCCGTTCGTGATTGGTTGCATAGACAGTACACATGTAAAAATAAATGCACCTCACCATAGCAATTAGGCTTATTTTAAAAGAAAGCATGACTATAGCTTAATCTTGCAGATAGTTTGCGATGAAAATGGTTTTTTTATAAACGTTTATGTTGGAGAGCCTGGTTTCTTATGTATTGTTCTGTTTTAATTAAATAAATGTATTCAACTTAATTTATATATATTCATTTCAAATTAATTGATATTAATAAATTATCAAACAACACTTTTTCAATAATAATAAAACGTAAATTATTAAAGTAATAATTTTAATTACATTGATAATTAAAACGTTACTTTAAACAAAGAAATAAATAATAATGACATATTAATTAAATAAGTACATAAAATAAATAATAAATAAATAATATCAATAGTAAATAAATATAAATGTAGACCTGTTTAAAATTTTACTGCACCGTTGCATCGCATTGCCAACCTTATTTGCATTAAAATACGTTCCACTTTTATCTTTTACATACATTCCACATTGAATCAGAAAGTGAACCAGATCAATTGCTGGTTCACCCCATTGTTTTTGTTTTGCATGTAAAATTGTGCGGATCATGCTTGCTGAAACGCAGCTATTAGCTTCTGAGAGTTGCTTTATTGTATCAACTATTTCTCTTTCTAAAGGGATAACTCTTTCTCCTTTTTCGAGCATTTACAATTTTTTTCTTCTTTTTTCTAGGAGTTTCTTCACACGCATCTTCAGATGGTTCTTCAGACGATGATGAAACGCGGATGTTAATCGATCCACTATAGATTGGAGATGATGAACAAAGCTTTTCATCCGAATTAACCATTAATGAATGAACTGCAACAGACAATTAATTTATAAAACATTTTCTTAATCCTGGAACTTTGGTTGCTGGTTTTGCGCTCAAAGTCGATTCCAGTCAGCAAAGTTCGTAATGTAAACATAGTATTATAGTCGTAATTTTTCCTTTCAGAGTGGTAGAAAAACAGTATTAAGTCTAGTTGAAACAAATTGTTTATTTGTTTATGTATTTGAATTTATTAGTAAATGAAAGGCTCATATGACGTATGATTGGAATTTTGCAACATTTTTTTAGTGAACATTCACAATAGACTGATATTTGAATTTAGTTCGAAAACTTAACACAAAATTTTTACGAGTAAAACCTAACTTTGAAAATTTTAAGAGCACGTTATTGTTTCACATGTTTTCTTTCGTAAGTTACTAGTACTTTTTTGCTACTCTGAAAGAAACAATTACGAGAGTTGATTTTCACAAGCCTCTCTTTCAGCGAATTTTTGACCAGAAAAATAGCCATGGACAGAAACAGATGGTAATCACTATAATAAGAAGAACTTCACAACCAAGCTCCTGGAGGTTTTAGCGAGTCATTATCGATGTGTGTGGCCTGGCGTTGTCCTGATGGAATACAATTCCTTGCTTCCTTGTTAAATGACTTGGCTGAAACATCTATCCTTGACTCAACAAAAAGATGGCTCTGTGACTATCTTATAGGTAGATCATCCTTTGTTGGCTCTAGAGATGAAATGTCAAAGGCCACGAAATTGAAAAAAATTCAATTCATATCTAAACTTCCAGATGACTGCATAATTCTAACTACGTGCTAGGATATGTGCTCTATATTGTGCACAAACTAAATGCATATCTGTCCTCTGTGGCATCGTTTTTGGACGACAGAAATCGTCACCTATCATCAAAAAAAATCCTGTTATCCTTTTTACTTTGGGGACTATAGAGGTATCTATGATCCTGCCAATAAATATTGGTGAATTCAGGGTCTTCACCACCACCAAACCTTAAATCCTAAGTATCGTACTCGACAGTATGCTGACCTTTTCTGTACATGCGCCTGCTTTGTGTGGTCGGTTGAAATCTCGTAATAATGTATTAAAAGTGCTCACAGGTTGTTCATGGGGCAAGGATAAAGAAACCCTACTAAGCACATACAAAGCAATAGGTTGTCTTATTGCAGTCTATGCAGTATGGACCTCACAACTCTGCAAGACGCAATGGACTAACATCAAATCATATCAAAACAACGCATTACGAATTGCAACTGGCTACCATCGCATGATGCATCCTAACCATCTTCATACAGAGTCGAATATGCTTCTTGTAAAAGACCATAATCAACTGCTGTCCAAGCAATAATTTCTTGCATGCTACACAGATAGACATCCCAATGACGACATGGCTAGTAGAGCCCTCTCTTCAACGTGCATTCGTCGATCCCTCCCTTCCGATCATATAGATATCGACACCTTATGCAATGGAGCAAACATCAGTGAGGTCGAATATAAATGTGAACTTATAAACTTCCACACAGATGCAGTAACCTCTTCGAGACCAAGGTTGTCAGACAGCCAGGTTCTTAACAGGCATCCGCCTAACATCGTCCAGGAAGAACGACATCTCTCCCGTGCAGCAAGAACTGTCCTAGCTCAATTAAGATCGGCATATTGCCGAGTACTAAACAGTTACTTGTCACACATAAATACGTCTACTCCTAATGTGTGCCCAAACTGCAGCAGTACTCACCATGACGTCGCCAATCACCGTTTGGACCCATCCAATTGAAGTGGCCAGGTTTCTCCGTCTGGACCCAGGTTAATTCTCAATAAAATACTACCCACAAAATCCACCCCATTCTTACTTTCAACCACTACCCAACCACTTCCCTACTCATGTAATCGTGTTGAATATCCTTTTATGTTATCTCCTTACAAGTCTTACGGGGTTACAACAACAACAACATCATTGGGAAAATAATGGATTTTTTCTTACTACACCTAAAATTATTTTGTTTTGTGATTAAATATATATATTATACTAAAATATATTACCCCCACTGTATTGTAGTATGTGAAAAAGTAATTATAGAATATTTATTCTCCATTCAATTTTTTAATCTTGCATTTACCATAGTAAAAGGGATATACTCAGATCATTTATACTGTAGCAATTAACTTGATAGTGTCATTCATTTCATAAGTCCGATACTTATAGTGTAAATATAACATTACTATATACACTAGCATCTGTTTTCTAATTTTTTAATGTTTAAAAAGCATCAAGAGAAGTTTGAGCTATATATTTTTTAAAATCTAAAACACTAACACAGAAAGCGAGATTGCTTTTCATTTAGAAGAAAAATCTGTTTTGTTGATATTTCATATATTATATTCAAGTACATAAATTGACAAGTAGTTTAAAAAATACAAAAAATCGTAGTATGTATCTGTTAAAATTAGTTCAGTATAAATTAGTTCAAAATTTATTAAGTAGAATTTATTATTTGGCTGCTTTTTCATGCAAAATTGTTAGTATATTAATTTTTAAAAATGTTCAAAATTTGCGCTCGAACGGAAAGGACCATATGTGCTATAAGCCGGACTATTCCCAATTTGTGTAATCGCGTTAAAGTTAATATTCCTAAAATAAAAGACTAACGCACCGCAAATATACAAAATGTAAGCAAAGTTATTAAACTAAAATCTTTCGGCATCACTTCTCCAATTAAAAAGATTAACTTAAACATTGTCGCACTGACTAATAGCGGGCCACTGAAAAAACAATCCATAACTAGTTTTCTACTCCTTGTATTTCGGTTTTATTTCGGATTTATTTTTTTTCTTAATTTGTTCTTCATTGAGAAATAATAAAAACGCACTTCAATGGTGGAATGGTGAATTGCTGTAAAATGCAAGTTTTTATTATTTCCACTCAACTATATATGGAGAAATCTTGACATAAAAGGTGAAATGAAATGTGGTCTTTTATTATATTAAGCACAAGGAAAAATGTAACCATGTGTTCTAATAACAATAAATTTAATGTTGCGATAAGTATGTAACAACATTAATTCCATTTTTTAAATGAGCGGGCTGTGACTGACAGTAGATAACATAAATATTACAAATATTTCCTTAATGATTGAATTTATTTAAACACTTTTTGTGGGAAAATGCATAAAAAGATACTTAGAAGAAAATTCATCTACGTTGATACCTAGCGAAATTTTTTAGAATAAATCTACTTAATAATTAGTAAGTTATATTTTTGTATTTATTTAGGTATGTATCAACAATGCAACACATTTGTAAAACTAAAATGTTTAATAAACTTTGCTTGAAATGAAACTCTGCGGTTAGCTGCGGTGTATGTTCATTTTTACTATGTGTACGTCAACTGTCAAAAATCGTAAATATTTAAGAAATATCTGTAGGAAAATTTTCGGAGAAGTGCAAAAAATCAAAAATTTTTCTTTACAGTTTGATTTGAGTGATATATTATATTTTAAACCATTGTAATTTGTTTTATATATAATGCAAAAAGTATTAGTTTTGTTACTACAACCAAATTAAATAAGTGAAATTTAGCTATAAATATGTCATTTGTACGAGCGGCCCCAGCAATTGGTGGCAGCGATTCAGCACAAAAATTTGTGGAAGCGCTTCAAGCGGATTTTAAAGCACTATCGATAGAAACAAAGAAAAAATATCCATTAATAAAAGAGGTAATCACAAATAGTTTTACACTTGAAATGTCAAATAGCCGCAATTTGATTAATGAGGTGTTTGGTTGAGTGGGGTGGTGGGTAGAAGGGTGTGGTGGTGTTTTACTTTTTGTTGGTAGTGGTGAATATTTGATTGGGGTTGGTAATGTATTATGTGGCCTTAAATACACAATACAATCACATATACAAATAATCGAACTAAACTATTCTTTAACTCTATGGGATTTGAATGCATAATAATTGATTTTCCTTGCTTTAATATAAATTAAATTTGCTGTTTATTTTTTTTGCTAATTATACAATAACTGTCAACTGTTCTTTCATCACGTTACAAACCAACGTCTTCTTAGTCATGCGAAGAAGCAATTTCAAAATTGAATTCAGCCGCCACAAACCAACAGACGTCTGTTTACTACACAGTAAATCAAATATTGTACCCACTTGTGCAAGGATGCGAGACAAAAGATTTAAAAATCATCAAAGTAAGTTTAAATATGTTTAAAATACTTAATTTAATTTACAGCTGTTAATTTATTTAAAAATTATCTAGAATAATAAAGTGAATGATGTTATCTTATCTCTTTTATTAATTACTCATAACCAATTCGTACACATCTATAATTTTCAGTTTTGTTTGGGAATGATGCAGCGGTTGATAACACAGCAGGTGGTGGATCATAAAGGTGCACGCTATATAACAGATGCATTATGGATGCTAATGGAAAACAATATCGAAGAAGTAAAAGTTTTGCAGACGGTGACGCTTCTGTTGACTACCAACACAGTTGTGCATGGTGAAACATTGGCTAAGTCTTTAGTACTGTGTTTTCGTCTACATTACACAAAGAACTCGACAATTGTTAATACTGCAGGAGCAACTATTCGTCAATTGGTATCGTTAGTTTTCGAACGTGTTTACTTAGAGAAAGATGCGTTGTCTACCATACAACAACCTGGACCACTGAAACCGAGTAAAGACACTGCTTGTGATGCAGAAAACAGTAATACAAATGAAATGCAAACTTTCGCATCTGACGCATTCTTTTTATTTCAAGTAATAGAAATTATTTGCATTTAACTCAAAGTTTTAGGCAATAACTATTTATGATTATATATTAAAGGACCTTGTGCAGTTGGTTAATGCGGATCAGCCGTTTTGGTTAATAGGTATGACGGAAATGACGCGTACGTTTGGTTTAGAATTATTAGAGGCCGTACTAACGAATTTTAGTGCTGTATTTCATGAGGTACAAACTGGTTCAATTTCTAATTTTGTTCATAATAATAATTCATAGCATAATTTTTATGTTTGCAGAATAATGATTTTCGTTTGCTGTTAAAGGAACGTGTTTGTGCTTTGGTGATAAAGTTATTCTCTCCAAATGTCAAACATCGGCAGGTGCCTACGAGTGGTACTAGTAATGGTACCATACCAAGTGATAAACCATATTTTCCAATAAGCATGCGGTTACTTCGCTTAGTCGCTATATTGATTCAAAAATATCATACGATATTGGTATTTGAATGTTATTAAAAAATATTGAAATCTAATAATAGGCAAAATTTGTATAGGTTACTGAATGTGAGATATTTTTATCACTCATCATAAAATTCTTGGATCCGGATAAACCGCATTGGCAACGTGCATTGGCTTTGGAAGTTATACATAAATTAGTTACTAAAGCCAATTTGATTGCGTTCTTTTGTAAATCATATGATTTGAAAAATCATGCTACTAATATTGTGCAAGATATGATATCAGCATTAGGCACATATGTGCGTTATTCATTGTTTAATGCTTCAGCTGGTACGTATAATGTGAAATTATAAAATACAAATAACTTATATTTTTAACATTCTAATAGTACAAAATGGGCAACCTGCAGTTGGGGCGCAAACAAATGCAGCAGCAGCACTTAGTACCAGTAACCAATGCGGTTTTATATACAGAGGCGCATATTTACCCTTAGTTGCGACTTTTGCACCAGGAGTTTCTAAATCTGTTTAGTAAGTAGCAAATTACGTATTTATATTATGTATTTATTATGTATTGATAATTATGTATTGATAAAATACATGATTTAAAATAAAAACTTACTTAATTTTTTTTAATAAAACTTCTTTAATTTTAATCTCCATATCAAATATAAAGAAGAATAAACGTATGCAATATATCAATAATAAAATGATTAAGAATTTTGTAATATTCTTGAATGTTTCCCCTTACAAGAAATAACATATATTCATTAAATTACATTTATATACACTAAATTAAATTATATGATTTACTTAGTTTTAAAATCAATTACCATTAACTGATATATAAAAATATATAATTAACATTACAGCTTAGAAATGTTAGATAAATTGGATGCACCAAATATTCCAGACAGCTATGGCATATCGGTTGCTTATGCAATTTTGTTGGATGTTACACGTTCAATTGGTTGTGTTTTACAGCGTACTACAGAAATGGTATTTATAAATTTATATATATACATATTAATCGATATGATGATTTTTATCAACCATTAAACAGCATCCTACGCATAATTCAGCTATAATATCAGAAGAGGAACATAAACCATTATGCTTACAACTTATCAATTCCAGCTGGTCTGGTTTACTAGCTGCGTTTGTTGCACTCGTTGACGCATCAATTGATGAAGCAACAACAGATAATATACTTAAAGCAATGCAAAACTATGCAGCGCTTTGTGGTATATTGGAGTTACTAGGTTCACGTGATGCTTTTATAATGGCTATATGTCGTGCCTCATTTCCTCCGCATTATGCCATGTCAATATTTGCTAATAGTGGACATGTGGATGCTGATTTAAGATGTAAGTCGAAAATATTACTATATATATACATAGTTATAATAATAATAAAATAAACCTATTGTTATATAGTGGGACATACACGTACCAATAGTCAGGATTTAAATAATCAGTTTATAACAACGTGTAATGAAGGTGATTTTCGACAGCAAATTGTTGCTGTTGGCACACCATTGCCCAGCGCCTCATTACCGCATAGTGTAATGCAAGCACCTGTAATGTTAACCACAAAAAATTTGCAATGCATGCGTGCTATACTATTTTTGGCACATAGCAATGGAAGTATTTTAGGAACATCTTGGCATATTGTATTACAAACATTACAACATTTGGTTTGGATTTTGGGTTTGAAGCCGTCGACTGGTGGTAGTTTACAAGTAAGTTTAATGATTTGTTTTTAAATGTATATATTTGACAATGTTTCGCTTAAGGCGTTTCCTAAGCCAGCTGTGGAGGCAAATGTTGGCATACAAACTGCTGTTATGGCTGATTTGCCAGTATTGTCGCAAATGCTAAGTCAACTTTTTGAATCTAGCCAGTATTTAGATGATGTGGCATTACATCATTTAATCGATGCGCTCTGTAAGTTATCGCATGAAGCTATGGAGTTGGCATATGCTAATAGGGTAAGTGTTAAATAACTAAAAAAAATTACAAATCAGTGTATTAGTATTATTGAAAAACATATTTTATTATATTGATAAAGGAACCATCCTTGTTTGCTGTGGCAAAACTTTTGGAGACTGGTCTTGTTAACATGCAGCGAATTGAAGTGCTTTGGCGTCCTTTGACAAATCATTTACTGGAAGTTTGTCAGCATCGACACATACGCATGCGAGAGTGGGGAGTTGAAGCTATAACATATTTAGTTAAATCTGCATTGCAGTTTAAACATACGTCGCCTTTAAAAGAGAATATGGTAAGTTTCACTTCTTAATTTTTGGAAATAGAAGGTAATAAATAAAGCAAATAATTTATTCCCTAAATTTAAAGTAGTTGTAGAATGCTTTTAACAAAAAACAAAATATAATAAAATAGTAATCAACAGCAAAACTTCATTGGCTGACATTAAAGTGAAGCACTGCATCTATGCTAGGTCGTTTTTTCTGTAAACTAATCCTATCCAACCTTAGTTTTTCGAAAATGAAGTAAAACAAAAATGTACTCTGTGGGCAATTTCCATGCATCAGGCAGGGATACTAGCTCGTGGCACTGTATTCTTTCACTGTGTTTTAACTATAGTTCTACTTTTCATGACGTCTCTTAGAATCAGTAAACAAAAATTTTTTAATAAGTTCACATATTTAAAGCATAAAACTTTATAAATTAAACACATATAATTCAAGCTAGAAAAACTTTAATATAAGTCCAGTTAACATGAGATGTTGACATGTTAACCTATTTTTCAATTATTAATTTCGTTTTTAGGTCTTGCAAACTATGCTTTTAAGTCCACTATCTGAACTTTCAACTGTAATGCATGCAGATGTTCGGCAACGTCAATTAGATTGTGTCTTACAAATTCTAAATGGTGCGGGTGAGATTTTATCATTTGGTTGGCCGGCGATAATTGAAATAATAGGGGCTGTTAACGATCATCACGGGTATGCGAAACATTGAACAACTTATATTACTGATGGTTAAAAATTTATTTTACATCTACAGTGAACCTTTGATTCGTACTGCATTCCAATGCCTTCAGCTTGTTATTACTGATTTTCTAACTGTTATGCCCTGGCATTGCTTGCCTTTGTGCATTAGTACGGCAGCAAAATTTGGCTCACAAACACAGGAATTGAATATATCTTTGACAGCTATAGGATTAATGGTATGTTTAAAGTATTCTGCATATATAAAAATATTTAAAAAAAAATACTATGAACAATATGTTTTATACATTTCAGTGGAATATATCGGACTTCTTTAATCAAAACCAGGATAAATTAATGTCAACTGAAATCGGTAATGCCAATATATTGCCGGAATTTCCTGGTACTGTTAAAATGCCACAATTTGATAAATTATGGATGTGTTTATATGCAAAATTAGGTTTGTGTTTGAACTTATATAATTTCATTTCTGTATATTTGGTATTTAATGTAAACATAAATAAATTTTATACAGGTGACCTTTGTGTCGATCTACGTCCAGCGGTACGTAAATCAGCCGGTCAAACACTGTTCTCAACGATATCTGCACATGGCAGTCTACTGAATCCGCCAACTTGGCAAGCGTTGGTATGGCAAGTACTCTTTCCTCTGCTAGATAATGTGCGTGCACTTTCTAGTTCAGCTAGTAACGAAAAAGTAGATGCTAGCGGCAATATTTTAATACACCATTCAAGGAATACGGCACAAAAACAATGGGCAGAAACTCAAGTTTTAACTTTATCTGGAGTTTGTAGAGTTAGTAAAAAAATATTTATCATTATTATTCTAAATGATGGAAAAATATAATTGGTTTCTGTGTAGGTTTTTAATACTAAGCGTGATTTATTACAAATGCTTGGTGATTTTGATCGAGCTTGGTCTTTGATATTGGAATTTATACAAAATGCTGCTTTAAGTAAAAATGGTGAAGTCTCTTTAGCTGCACTGAAGTCTTTACAAGAAATTATGTATCACAATTCAGAAAAGTCAGTTGTTAATTCAAACGAAAATGATAATACTAAATATGTTGAAATTTGGAGTGTATGTTTTTCAATTTTTCTAGATATATAGTTGAATCTAAAAGTGTTTAATTTTTAGATCGCTTGGAATATTTGGCTAAATATTGGCATGGAAAGTACCAAAATAACAACAAAAAACAATGAAATCCAAACAGAAGAATTTTATATTCCGAGTCAAGCTTTTTTAACAGCTTTAATTCAAATATTTCCAGCTATCTTTCAGCATATACAAGAAAGGTATTTCATTAATAACGATTATAGATATATATAATTTGGTTAAAAAATTAAGTGTGTACAATGGGGTAGAGCTGCAGTTAGGGCATACATTAGGAATAGACATGTTTATGCATGACAAGTAGGATAGCTAGGATAGTTCTGCTTGCACGGGGGAGACTTCGTTCTTCCTGGAAGATGTTAGTCGGAGGCGTGCTGAGAACGTTGTGTAACAATTTTGGCGTCCTAATGCTTTGTATATGTTCAACAGGATTTTTTTTATGTTTACTCCGTGAGCAACCTGCGAGCGTTTTTAACAAATTATTATGAGATTTCAACCGACCGCACATAACAGAGGCATGTACAGAAAAGCTCAACATACTGTCTAGTAAGACACCCAAGATTTTAGATTTGGTAGTAGTAAGGATTCTGAATTCACTAATATTTATGGACAGAGTCAAAGATACCATTTTAGTCCAGGAAGTAAAGAGGGTGGCGGAGGATTTATTTGGAGGTAGGTGAAGACTTTTATCATCTAAAAACGATGCTATAAAGGGGAGATATGCATTAAGTTTGTTGCACAATATAGAGAGGTACTGACCCGTTGTTGTTGTAACCCGCCGGGACCTGAAAGCAGACAACATGAAAGAATTACAAGACGAATATATGGGATAAGAAATGGAAAAGGTGGGAATGAGTGTTGTGATGAGGGAAGGGGAGGGGTGGGAATAATTTGAAACTAACCAGGATCCAGTCGAAGAAACGTAGCTACTTCAAGGGGACGAGTCCAATGGTCGATTGGACTTAAATTGGTGTGTGCGTTGGGGCAAGAAAACAGATGGGCGACGTCATGGGGCGTGGAGCTGCAGTTTGGGCACACATTAGGAATGGACGTGTTAATACGTGACAAGTAACTGTTAAGCACATGGCTATATCCTAATCTCAATTGTGATAGGACAGTTCTTGCCTTACGAGGAAGATTACGTTCATCCTGAGAAATGATTGGCGGAGGCCTATTGAGGACCTTGTTGGTACTGATAGTCAAAATTGGATAGTCATCTGTATACGTTATAAGGGGGTGTGGAAGTTTATGACATATATAAATTGAAAAGCATCGGTGAAAAAACACTGACTTGGGGAACATCTTGTTTCAATTTTCTGACTTTTGACATCTCTAAAAGGATAAGAAGGATGATCTGCCTATGAGATGAGTTACAGAGCCATCGTTTTATTGAACTAGGGATAGACGTTCAGTCAGGTCATTTAACAAGGTGCTATGGGAAACTGTGTCATATACCTTTACGAGATCAAGGCTTACTAGCACCGTGCATTCGCACGAGCGACTTTGGTTGAGGCCATTGGAAATTTGATGTTAGCTTAAATTTGGGGAGCTAAGTGAATATGAATGAATAAGTGAATATGTTTTAGGACTAAAGACTTTTGCTACTGGAGAAATATTGGCCTGTACGATTTATCAATACCATCCGGTTTGCCCGGCTTCACCAGGGGGATTATCCTACCAGTCTTCCATATATTGGGGATGATGTGTGAACTAATGGATAAGTTCAGAATATATGTCAGAACTGAACGACCAATGGTCCCGAGATTCTTAGGCATGAGCATCGTGAAGCCATCGAGCCCAGTTATTAAAACAGTTGCACCTGACAGATGTTTGGCTTCTGCAAATAGAAATGTCGCAAACAGAACTGTGTTAGGTAGAAGTGGTTGGTCCGTCAGGGCCAGGGTTAGGTTTAATTTCGGGCATTAGAACTAACATAAGAAGCAAGATGGTCGGGACTTGCTTTTTAGTGGTTAAAACACAAAAAGACGATAAATCTCAAAACAAACACATACCCTGCTTGTATGCTTTTGGGGGGTGTTGAACGGCACTTGGTTGCAAAGATTGGATGCATTTCGGGTCCGACCGCCAGTGTCCACTTAAACTTCTAAAATAAAATGACAATAGAACAGATCTATATATATATATATAATATAATATATATATATATTCATATATAATATAATATATATATATATATTCATATATAATATAATATATATATATATTCATATAATTATACATTTCAGGTTTATGCTAACTGATTTTGATAAATTTTGTACTGTGCTGACTAATGCCGTTTGTATACCCGTACAAACTGATGCCGTTCCTTATATTATGTCCTCAGTATCGGATTCTTTATTAACTCCATTGCATGATAGCATACTTGAATGTATGGATTTAATACAAAAAGTAAATTCAACAAATATATAATTTATAAAAGGAAGTAAAAATTTTAATGTAAATATGTTTCTTAATTAGGAAGCAACCAAAGAGGATTCAAATTTAAGATACATGATTCCTGCAGTATTTCGTCAATTGCTAGTGTTCAGTAAATTTGCTTGCGCACCACCAACGTATCAAGGAGTGGAAAATAAATACCATAAAACATCGAATCACTATTCCAATAACGCTTCAGTAGAAGTTGTTAGCATGAATTATATACCGTTTGGAGAGAAATCCATTAGTATTTGCGTTAAACTGTACCAAAGCACAGCGACGGAAGAGTCTGTTATGCAAGAGCACATACTGCATGAAATCATAATGGTAAGTCATTTAGGAATCTTATTCTCTGATAATCGAATCGCATAATTTGGCTACTCTTTAACGCTACAATATTTAAAATAGGAACATCACATATGTTGAATATTTGCAATATAATCTATTAGTTATATAATGTTTATATATAATTCTCATATTAGGCAGACATAAAACATCAATAAAAAATCAGAACTATATTAACGTTATTTGAATCGATATAAATGAAATAATGATTAAATAATGATTTCGAAGTTCCTAGGGCATTCCAAACAATTTCACTCACATGAAAAAAAATATTACAATTACATTATTTGCAAAAAAAAGGTTTTAACGTATAAAAGATTAGAAACCGGTAAAATGGATGATGGTTATTATATGGTAGCCAAAAAAAAAAATAGCGTTCATAAAAGCATTTACAAGTAAGTTTTAGTTTGCTGTCGAGGTCTTGATTCAAGTTATTCCTGCACTAAGTATTTGTCTGCATGTGTAAAATATTGTCTGCATTGTCAGCAGTTTTGGCGATTTAAAATGAAATCATAATTTATAAAGATCTGCAGTTTTTTAGCAATACATAGTGAACTGCCTCTCGTTGATTATCATTTTTTTTTTTGATATATCTGTGTATTAATATTTGAATCATCTTATGCATTTCATCCGGAAATGGGATATTTCGAAGAACGACTGTAGCTATTACGATTTAATTTCTAATACGAAATTAATATGTCCTTTAAAATCTTAAAATAATTTTTTCACAATAGGCACTTCGAACACCTTTGGCTATAAAGTATAAATGTCTCTCATCCAGCACCTGGAAATTGGCCATTTCGAGTTTAATATCAATTTTGCATACTGGACTTAAGGTAGCACGTGCGAAACCAAATCATTTTACTGATATGTGGGAGGATTTATCTGACACATTAGATAAGTTTTTATTTCCTGCAAGGTATATATTACATAAATTATTTGTTTTTTAATTAACTGATGTGAGCAAATACTTCAGTGTGTGTACTGTGGAAGATCGTGGCCTAGAAGAAATTGTATTAGATGAAACGATTGATTGTCAAGTTATTGAATTGTTGCGAGACGAAGTTTTACCATTTGCACACGAAATGCCTCATCAATTCATAATGCAAATTGTTGTATTACTTAATAAAGGATCTATACATTCCGCATCCGACTCGAATATTTGTTATGAATCTGATTGGAAACTACGTGAAATTTTCGCGAAGACATGTTTTGAAACATTATTACAGTTTTCTTTATTAGACGATTCATGTAATAATGTTAGTGGTGCGACCAATTCAGTATCGACTAACATAAATAATGCGGCAATACCATTAGATACAAATATCTTGCCTGGAGTTATTAGTGGAGCTGGTAAGGATTTTGCTGGACGTTTAGCAGTTACAGCATTATTACATCGGTTTCAGGAAGTTCTAAAACGTTATAATGATGATGAGAGACAAAGTGGAAAATGTCCTTTACCAAGGTAAGTACTCAATTTTTCGTATATCACAATTAATTGATCTACTTAATTATTCTAATATAGGTTTAGACTGTCGGAAATTTCATTTGTTTTAAAAGCGATTGCTACGTTAGTTGTATCAATGAAAAAAGCACCGCCTTCAAAAGGTATTATATATATATATATATATTATAATTTAAAGGTTTATTTTTCAGAATCACTTAAATGTAATACGTTAATTCCTACTGTGTGGCCCAACTGTAGCTCTACCTTTTATAACGTCACTTATCTGTTCTCATGTTCGAGATCACACATCAATTTGAGCCCTATTAAATTATGGTTCCGACCCGCTGAAGTGGCTAGGTTCTTCCATCTTCATCTAACCTCGTTTCCTTTGCTCTCTCTCTCTCTCTCTCTCTCTCTCTCTCTCTCTCTCCTCTCTTCTCCCTCTCTTCTCCCTCTCTCGCTCTCCTCTCTCTCTCTCTCTTACCTCTGTTAATATCTTATGGTAAAACATATGTTTGTCTGGTTTACAGTTCCACAGATTCCCTCGGGTTACAACAACATCAGCAATGTATGTGATTATAATAATGTTGAATGTCTGTCTTTATAATCCTTATGAATTTGCGAGAACGTTTCCAAAAAAAAAAGAGTTGCACCCGTTGTAGAAAATATGGTGGCCTAATTTGGGCAACATTATATCTATACAAACTGCTATTCAGCGCACACTAATCGTAGCTCTGCCAAATTAAAACAACAAGATTCTTACACTTACATCCGATTTAGTTCAAGCATCTACTTAATTATAAATATTATACACTAGTCATATTCACAGCACTATACGTTAGCCATTCAATATTATTTATATGCACATTAATATGCGTTTATAGAATTATATTTATATACAATTATATGAAAGTGTATATAAAGTGTATACATGCTATAGCTGATCTAAAAAGCAATGCTCAACAACAACAAAATATAAAAATACATAAAATTTTATTTTTATTTGTATTATATGTACTTTAATTTTAAATATCTATTTTCAGTTAATAAACCTGCATGGGATCAGTTGATTGGTCTCTATCCGTATCTAGTAGATTGTACGACGACAACATCACCGGAAGTCTCACGATCATTACGTGAAGCTTTGTTGCAATATACGGACTTGTTACAGCCTCCGAAATGTTATATTTCGGATGTAACAAGTAAAACGGTAGCAACGGCAGCACGACAACAGTCAAATGGGCAAGAATAAAAAATGAATCGAAGCAATTAAACTTAGATTTATATATAATATATATATATATAATATTTATTTATTATATACATTTTGCTTTTCTTTGTTATATTTTTTAGTAATATATTTCATATATTTTGTGAAATATTAAGAATTTATTTCTTTGATAAATAATATTTTATTAGAAACTCTTGTTAAATATATGTGCATAATGCACAGACGCAATTCTATTTACATAAAGGCATGTATTAGATATATACAATATACATACATATATGTATATATTTATATAATAATAACAGAAAATATATATACATTTTAATATTATATAAAACGGAAAGATTTTAATTTATGTATTTTTGTGGTTTGTTATTCTATACATATTAATATTATTTCATAAAAAATTATGTACCTCAACAATTAAAATTTAACTAATTAATTATAAATGACTACTAATCTAATTTTTTACAATATTTACGTTAGAAAATTTACTTAATAATTAACTCATAAAAAAATTTTGTTTGTAGTTAAGGTTTTTTGAATTAATCAAGATTAATGATTGAAATAAAAAATTACATTTAGGCAGATTTAAATGTATGAAATTGCATTAATTATGAGAATTTTATTATTGCTTCAATATTTATTTAGATAATTAAATTATCGTAAATGTATGCAAAATTAATAATAGAAAATGTACACTAATTTAAAAAACATTAGATCTGCTATTGGCCTTACATGCTGACATTATAGAACCTTTGTTTAAATTGACATTAATCTTAATCTTAAAAAGAAATTGTGTATCCTTTATAAAAAGTATTGAATATATTTTACAAATTAATTCAATCATATGAGTTATACAGTTATGACTTAATATGTTAGCCATACAATTTTTAATAGGTGATAAATATATAGCACTTCTGTGTATTAAATCTTCATAAACTTTGTGAAATTAAATATTATGCGTTAGAACATAATGACCAGTAAACTTAAATATTTTAGAATATTTATTGTTGACCGATTAATCGATTAGAGGCAATGTACGATATTTTAAAGGCACTTATTAATATCGTGTTTTTAAATTTGGATCCCTTCTGAATCTTCTGTCAAAGAAATGCTAGACGTAGATTTGTTACTTGGCAAGTTTTAAAACAAACTGCGATTAATAAAGAAGATTATTTTTGTTAGCCGGACTATTGAATCCGTAAATTTTCAAAGGGCGGAGCCATAATCACATTAGATCTGCATGCTTGCCTAAGTAATGTTAAGCTGCTTAGTTTTTTTATTCCCTGCAGTTTCTACATTTCTGATTGAAGGGAGGTCTGGTTTTTTCGGCATATGAGCATACTGACTAAAATCCTTTCAGCGCTTTCACGAGTGTTGCTAATTCGAGTCTAGTTCTTCCTATTGAAAATGTCGGAAGCCACAGTAAAAGAAAAATTGTATTTCTTACTAAGATCAGCTATTATAGGTGTGATAAAGGCAGTACACTTAAAAGCTTTTTAATATCGTTAACATGATAATTATAAAAACTGGTGCTGCTCATGGATGAGAGTATTACTGGTTTATCATAACTTTTTTAACTGCGATGACATGTTTATTATCATTAATTTCAATTAATAATTATTAAAAAGTGACTTAATGCCTACTCTTTGAATACCAATAAGGAGCAATAATAATTTAAGTGTACTTTTTTATATAAATAAATAGATGAATCCTGCGATCTAAAGTAAACACAAGGATCTTATTTTTTATTATCGCGTATATCGTTCTAGCAAGCGTACAATGTGAACAAATGATAACCAAATAATAACTCACACAATTTTTAAAGCAGTTTTTGATAATTTAATAAGAAACCATCTAAATAGCGACGTTTCTGACTTTGGAATCGCTGCAAAATTTTTAAGGCTTTATAAAAAGACACTCAACACCACATTCAGTTTAGGCCAATGTGTAAAGATCATTTCTGTCATATTAATATTAAACGAGATCTTATAATAAACGAGAAACATTATATTGGATGAATAGATTTAACAGAGTACATTTTATCGTCAAACAACATATTACGAATCTAGTCATTGTCTGTATCCACACTTTTAAAATTATGGAGGACTTTGCTTACCTAATTACTAGCGTTAACATTAACAATAACATCAGCTTCGAGATTAAGAGAAGAAACACTGTTGCCAATAGGTGCAACTATTGGTGTAGTATGAAATTAAGAACAAATGTAAAACCTTACAAGTCGCCAATTTCATCTGTCCTATTATACGATCCAGAAAAGTGAAGGATGAAGAACATAAGCGATAAGCGATCACTAAGAGTTGTCTGGGCAACAACTCTCCGATCTACGATAATGGTTATTATTTATATTGATAGAATGACAAACTAATTAGGTCGTGCCACCACTTATATAGAATAGAATAGTTAGAAGTTTTATGCCCAGAAATTCTTGTCACATATGCATGTTCCATTATTTAGTCAGCATTGTTTTTATTTATACATTCGGAACGCGTACTGTAATAGAATTAGCATTATTAAAACCGATATACGAAACTGAAGTCAGCTCATTAATTTCAATTTCACTAAATTTCGTAAATCTAATGGTAACAAGCCAGTGTTAGGAAAAAATTTCAATTTTGCTTAAGGATGTGAATAAGCATTGAGCGCATAAGCGATTAAGAAGCTGAGCGAAAAATTCAAACAGTGGTTAATTATACAATGAGTGGCTGAGTGCGTAAACGATTCAGCTGTAAATCATTTAATTTCTAGTATATTGTCAACAATTGCCACAACCTATTTGTCTCAATTTGTTAACTGAAAGCAAATACAAAGTGTTTAAAGATATTAAACTCATTCAAAAGAAAAAATATGGTTCATCTAATAAACAAAAGCATATAAATCTATATTCTTCATCTGATTTAATTTCGAAGCACTAAATAATGAAAACATACATTAAATGAGCTTAGATCACATTTGTTGCAATCGTATAATAATAAGAATAATTTTTATTAAAACATTATATTTATTATTTTATGACCAAACTGTGTCATCATCAGGAAACTTCCTGATGTGTCCTGAGTTTCTCGATAACGACTTTAGCCTAAAGTCGAAATATCTATTTTTCAAAACTTAGTATACGTATATCGTATAGCCCTTTTCACTTCTTTATGAGATGTCCAAATATGTATCCAAATTTCTCCATACAATTTTTCCCACTAATAACCAAATGTGAAAGGTTTACAAAAAACAAAAATTTGTCTTTCACAGTTCTCACGTTTCAGAAATTAATGATAAATTATGCAAAATATAATCTTCAATAAACCTCATACATTTTAACAAAAAATCCAATAAGTGATAATATAACGACATTTTTTTTTTATAAATATTTAATTTGTATTTTAAATTTAAAACAAATCGGTAAAAAACTACGAATAATAAATTCTATTTATTAATGAAATTTCAAAAATTCAAAGTAGAAGGAACAGCTATATTTCCAGAGCTTAATAAAAATCAATATAAAGTTAATGCTTGTATAAAATTGTTTTTTTCTAATTATTCCTTATTGATTAATAAACTTCGTTTTTTAACCGTTTTATTCTATATTTGCTTAACAAAATAAATCTGAGGAATATAATCTATCTCTAATTAATAATTAACCGTTTTATCTAATATTTGCTTAACAAAATAAATCTGAGGAATATAATCTATCTCTAATTAATAATATATATCCGTCCAAACTCATCAGTTTCTTAAATTTATAATACCTATTAAAACAATTTCTATATACAATAGAACAATGGAAGAATCAGCAATTAATGATTTTAAATCAACTCGACGTAAACAATCTAATCAAAATAAAATCCCTCAAATATTAGAAATTCTATGTAATAAATGTATAATTAAATCTTGACCAAAGAAATTAAATAAAAGAAAATGAAAAAAGCTAAAATTTATGAAAAATATAATAATTTATAATTAAATAGAAAATTACCCAAAAAATACAAATTTGTATTTCTTAATTTTTCATATAATTAAAAAATTCCTAATAACATGTGCAAAAATACAAAGTATAAAATAATTAATAAATTTCAACTTGTAAACGTTCAGTTTGATATCCATACTAAATTAATGAAATTGGAATTAATCTATATTTTCAAGAAATAAATATAAAGCAAAAATGTTAATTCTGGAAAACGTTAAACGTTAAATATATTATTACAGAATAATTTTTATAATATAATCGATTTATATAGCTATTTATAAAAAAAATAATTATTAAAACAATTAATTCTAAACTTAATAATAGAGATAATAAATGTTTTTGATTAGAAATAAAAGAAAATAGTTCAGTTAATACTATTACATAACAAATTAATAAAAAATTAATTAATTACTTAATTATCATTATTTAATTTTTAATAGCTTAACAAAAACATTCCTAAGTACACAAAAACAAAAAGTTCTTGCTTATTTGTAGTAGGAGTCACACAAAATTGAAATCAATACCGCATTTAAAATCACATGTTTTCATATGTGCATTTCATATGTGCATTCTTTGAATCATATTTTCTCACTAAAATTTGAGAGAAAAATTGAGCCTAAAACGCATCGACCACTAGATCCGCAGTGTGATCAGCGAATTCGTTCCTGATGTACACTCCATGTATTAAATACCATTGGCATCACGCTTCGCGTTTCAATGCTTATCTGCATCCTACTTGTCCCGTATTTAGATTTTACATCCATAAGCAAAAGCGTACATTATTCCTACATAGTTTAAATAGTTAAGCATTTTTTGTCCCAAACAAATGTAATTTCTCTTAGAATTAAACTCCTCATGGAAAAGTAAACAACTGTGAATATAATATCTCAGTAAAATTTATTAAGAAAAAGCACGCATTTACAAATGTATGACTCTATGTATATTAAAAAATTCTTCTCAAATATTCTTATTAATCTCTTTTAAAAGGCGCCAAAGCCGCATAGATAATAGCGAAGCCCTCCTTAATAGCAGCCACAGATTTAGCCCCTGTAACAACCAACTTGCCACTTGCATATATTAAAAATAACATAGTTGGCAAACGGTAATATAAGGCAGGGAATATTTCTGGTTCGTATTTTGTAAACTGCATATGTCCATTATTGAGGTCTTCGAGACCTATTGGAAAACGTACATCTATTACACCCACTATGTTACATATGGTAAAATCTTTGAATTCAACTTCATAGCCAAGCTTTTGGATGAGTTTGGCGAATTTATGGGACCCCAGACGAGCGTCTACCTCACTTTTTGTGCCGACTACCACCACTTTCCCGGAATTAAAAATCCGGGCAGTGCATTTTGGAAAACGCATGGTCATTTTCATACCAATGAAAGTTTGTGGGGAATACTCTGAATTGCGTGTACGGCGATAGATGTCCAATAGATCCAATTTTATGCCGACATTGTAAGTGGCGACAACATTTCTGAAATAATAATAATTACTTTAAAATCGAAGTATCATAAACACTTAATTATGGTTCGACTACTTACTTAATTTCCATTTTTTCGAATATTTCATCAGCCATTTTCAACAAGCTTTTCCAATTGAATGTTTAATGAAATTGAAAAATTGAAAAATTTTGCCGCGCTGAAATGACCGACAGGATGATTTTTATAACGGTATTAACATTTTTTATATTTCTATCTCTTTTCTTCCAAATTCATGGCATATATGCGAGACAAGGATTTATAGTTAGAATCAAAGAATACAAAGAATTAAATCTTCTCTGGTTTGTATGTTGCCATTTCACACTCTGTTCTTAGAAGAAATGACTAGATTTTGCTCTATATTGCTTTATTTCTTATCGTTTTTCGCATAATATTGTGGTCTCTTTTGAGTTGTGACGACCTATACTTATAGTTTATTTCGCAAAAATACACAGAAGAAGCAAAAACTAAGCCGTATAAAATACGGCTGGAGGTATCATGGTACACAACAAAGAATTATTTGAAGGTAGACATTGAAAAACAAAATAACTGATATTATGTTAAATATGATTTTCGTATACTCGCATTACATAAAGATGTACAGGGTCAAAATATATCCATAATCATGGACCTTGCCATTCTAATGGATTGGAAAGATACTGGAGAGAAATAAGAAAAAAAAATTAAACAATAAATTAATATAAGGGATTAATAAGAAGATTAAGCTTAAAACTTGAATAAAAAAATTTTCATGTGTTATTCCTACATACATTATATTTATTTTTTCATTAATTTATTAATGGTCAGCCAAAAATTCAATCAATTAAAATAATATAAAAAATAAAAAAATAAAAAAATTTTTGTTGTTGTAGTTCACTACTGTTCGAAAAAACCTCTTTCATTAATTTATAATTTAATAAAATTTGTAATCCAAGATTATAGGAGAAAACCTTTATAAATTAGGTATAAACATATCAGCTTAATTATTTTACATTTTGTAAATATTTTAGCTTAAGAACTACAAAAGTAGTTCATAAGTTTAGATATAGAACAATTCTATTATATAAAAATAATTGTATGTAATAAATATGAATTAAGAATATAATTTAATATAATATAATAATAATATAATAAGAATTTATAATAATAAAATTATTTAGTTTATTTCAAATTTATGAGCACAAACCGTTTTAATAACTTTGTTTGCTATAATCAGTTGATTATGTATTGTTTCCTTCAAAACTAGTTATACACGTAGGAATCAATTGTGCTCGATATTTAACGTGTGAGGTATGTTCATGTTACGATTTTGAATTCGCCGCAAGCAACATTTTATCAAAGTGATGTTATAGTACGTTCCCATTGCTGTCGTTAAAGGAGTTTATTTAATTCAGGTCGCTATTGAAATTTGATTAATAGATAAGATAAAATAAGCATTAATTAAGCAAAACTACACCAAAAATGTCGAATGCAACGTTGGAAAATATATTTTCCAAAAGGGAAATGATCGAAAATTGACATTTTTAACATATATATGAAATGATATGTAAATAAACAAAAAGCAAACAAGACAAACAAAGAAGAGGTAAGAATTTTCTATAATATTTGTTTATTTTTTTTTAAATAATTATACACAAAATTTTTTGCATTTTCTGCGTTTCCGTGATCAATAAATAAGCTCTGCTAACAATACAAAAGAAAATATAATCTGCTAACAATTGAAATGTAAGCAAAGGAAAACGCTTGTAGAACTTTCGGACACATAAAAGTTTTTTTACATGCATAAATCAACTTACATACACAGCACATAACTCCTATTACGTTGCCAATATTACGATTTGTAAAATATGTAATTCTTAATGTTACGATGTTACTTACATCGCTTAATTGATGTTAAACTGCTTTCGGTGAGCTAAAATTGCTTTAAAAAAAACTCATTTTAGAATGTTTATGTGACTTTAAAATCGATTTTAAGATCCTTAAATCAATTTTTAAGTCTCGCGCAAACGAGACCTCTCTATAATTAATGTTTTGGAATTTTGACGATAGATAAAAGTTCGACGAAAAAGTTATTTAATTGCACTGCTATTTATTTATAACACTGATTTAAAATTAATTAAATAATAAATTAGTATTTATTATACTACTTCTTAAATAAAACAATATCGTTATTCTAAATAAAATTTTTTATTTATTTTTTTTTCATTGTTTTTTGTTAATTTTTTTAATTTCATTTTATTTTTGTGTTTAATAATAAAGGTAATAATAACATTTTATTTTATAATTTTTTGTTGTCAATTTTATGATTTCATGTTTCATTAATCTTTTTTAATTTTTAATAATAATTTTAATAGTAATATTTAATAATTATTATAATATATATATTTTATATTTATGTTAGAAATTTTAGGCAATCAAGTTGTTTCAGTGTATTTGTTAGTTCTAATTTTAAATTTTAAATTTTTTATTTGTTCACTATATTTTTTATCATTCTTCTTTTTATTTTAGTTTCAAATTTTTAGTTATTAAATTTTTTAATTTGTTTAATTTTTAAAAATTTTAAATTTAAATACTCTACATACGAAATTTAATGCAACGAAGTTTCTGTTATATTATATATATATAATATTTTGTATTTCTTTTTTTTATTTTTGAAGTTCTCAATTTATTTTAAATTAGTTTTTAAATTTTACTAACCACCATTTTGTTTTTATATTAAATCATTAAGTGCAACTAGTTTCTGTTACATTAAATTTTATGCATTTACAATAAAATTGCAAGTTTTAAATTTTTTTATCTATATTCGTATTTTTTATTTTACAATTTTTTTTTTAAATTTTTTGTTTATTTTATTATTAACATTGTATACTTATAAATAAAAGGATTGCTGATTTGTGGTTACTATTTTTGTTTTAATTTATTTAATTATTTTGGAATTTCTTATATATGATACAACTTTTGTTTATTTAATATTTTACTTTAAGGTATTTTTGTATATAAATTTTATATATTTTTTAGTTAGTAAAATATTTATATTATAATCATATAATAATTATATTATAAATTGTATTGCATTTTAGTTGATTTATTAAAAAGTGCATAAATAATATATGTAATTTAGTATTTTTTTTGGATTTGGTTTTCCTTTATTGATTTGTTAGAAATTCATAATTGTTGTATATAATTATTATTAATAAATTATGTAAAATTATTTATTTTATATATAATTTAATATAAATACGATTTTAAACATAGTTTCTAAAGTAGCATTGAGTGTCAGCGTGAATTTTACAATTAATTCCTTACTAATAATTATACTAAGTTAAATTTATATATTTAAAATAATATATATATATATATATATATAATATATATATTATATATATATATTATATATATATATTATATATATATATATATATATATAATTTTATAAAATATTTATAAAGAGAAATATTAACAATAAAAATGTATTTAACATCGTTAGTAATAAAATAAGTATATAAAGAAAAGCGAAGGGGTCCACAAAATGCAGATTTTAAATCAAATTTTTAGTACAAGTATTTCTGTTTATTTAATTATAATTTACTTACTATTTTTTTATAACCTAAAATAAATATTTAAATTCATTATTAATATATATACAATTAAAATGTTTTAAAAAAATTTAGCGTTACGATTTAGTACAATGACGGCCCTTAAAAGTGTCTTAGGAACATGAGAGTAGTGGAACGACTAACTTCGAAAGTGAACATAATGGCAAGTTGAAAACGCAGTGAAAGCTGAAATTGAAACGACTAAATATGGGTGAAATTAATAGAAGGTCAAATTTTAGATATACACAAACTTAACTATATTTATTAATTAAACACTTTATAAATGATTTTTTTTCGTCTTACTACTGCAATGAAGTAAATCGTACAGTTCTATAAAAATATCAAATCACACTTGTCTCAATAAATAAGACATACAGTTTTTACAGTACAAGTGATGGAAAAATAAGATAAAAGTATTTGAAATTCATGTAGACATTACTTAGTTTCTATAATTCGATTATCTATTATGAAATTAAATTTCTTTTAAAATGATAAATGAACGAAATTTAAAATTAATATTCCAAGCTCCTCTCTTGTTTACATATAATTTACATAAAGCACTTGGTTAATAACAGCACAAAAATGGAAGACGTCAGATGTTCTTGCCGCACATAAGACGAGAGCTTGGACAGTTATTCAATTGGTTTAATCCAATTAGTGCGAAAAATTGGTCCATTAAAGTTCTACATTTCATTTCATATTCATATACGTTTAAGTGGTTAAGTAGTTACTACAGCGACCAACATATATTCCGTATTTATTAAATAAAATAATTATAATATAAAAAGTTAATAATGAATATATATATTACTGAAAGTAGTTTTTTTAAAGAATTGTTAGTGGGATTTAAAGTTTCATTTTTGAAAATTGAAAGTTATTTTGTTAATTGCCTTATAACATATAAAGAAATGTATTTTTTAAGTAGAGAATAATTATCAGTATTAAAAATATTACAAGCGACTATAAAATATTCGCACGAAAAAATCAATCACGATTCTAATATCCCGATTAAATTGGCATTCAATCGTTGTTTTTTCTTAATATCCTCGGCAATCAGTTATCATCATTGTATTAAATTGCTTTTGTGAGAAAATTTTATAATGAATTTAGCGTTTTTAAAATTTTTTAATTGAAACTTTAAGCGTTACAAGTTCAGCTTTATTAGTGACATACGGAAGAGATATGTTAAAGACGAAATCTTAGGAATGTAATAAGAAATTCTTGTAAATATTCACTGAACTTTCAATTTGTAATGGTGTTTTATTTTACTATAGCCTATTTTGCGCGCCAGAAGTTATGTGTCACTTCAGAACCTTAGCCAGAATTGTGCTAGGGTAGGTATGTTAGAAATTATTCTTTATCGAAATTTTTACAATCCTATTAGTGTCATTTTTAAGAAATTTATTTAAATATACTCAATGTCTAGAACTAAAACTATTTCTTTTTCCATAGCTATTTTAAAAAGTTAATAAGTTTCTCTAATCTATATATCTTTTTATTATTAAAATTTCGAAAAAATGTAGTGTGTCATTAGCTTGCTGTTAATCTATATTGTTCTGTTTCATTTTTATATAGGTTTTTTAACATTCTGCTTAAAACCAAAACTACATTC